GCTCAAATCATAACCTAGATTGGGGGGGGGGGTGAAGGATCATGCACCGAGATTCTAGTATGCCCAATCAAATTGCGACCATCCATCGCCATAGGTTCAGAACGAGGTAGCATTTTTCCATTGATACTATAATACTATTATATTTATCTTGCTTTGGTCATACTATTAGATTTTAAAGTAGAATGTCATTTTTATGCAAGATTCTTCCATTAGCGGTAAAAATGAAATTACTTCCATTTGGTAATTCGTTCACCATCAAGTTCAATGAATGTTTGCGCGACCGGTGTGTTTTACTTGATCATTTGAACACCAGTTGAAACTCGACTTTATCTTTTAAACGTTTTAAGTATTTTCATTTTCTATTTTCACATTTTCGGACTATGAAATTCACCACGTGATAATAAAGCTCCATTTCAGTAATCGTACCTCCGCCTCGTCTACAAGATTCAATGGCATCTTGCGCATTACCTGTTATTGTGCTCCCAATTTCTTCAACTTTTTGCGGCTAATCTGCTAACTCTTTTTATTTTAGTAGTTAAAGTAGGGGATATCTTTCAACTGATGCATTTTACCGCTGAGCATTCGTTGATATGCGGTTTGACCGTAAATAACTTATAGCACACTCCTTACAAATGTCAATTTATAATATGGGTACCATCAACAAGGCCATAGCAAGTGAGGGCGGGGGAGGGGTGCCTCGCATTACACACATGGAGGTATGTAGGGAGGTCTAAAACTGTGCAACTTGCCAAATGTTGATTATTGAACATTCGCCGAGTCACACATGCATTACTTTACAAATCAAAAACATTCTTTATGAAAACATGAGGGCGCTGTTCGCTCAAAATCGAGCAATTTTTTTTTATTTGACAGGACAAATTTGACATTTATCTGAAAACCTAAAATGATCGTTCTGAAGTAGATTATATAAGAAACGTATCAGAAGTACATATAAACATGCTATTAACATGAAACAGTCCGAGTCATGCGATTGTAAACACATTGAAATGAGCCAAACAATTCTCAATCAGAATATGTTGATGACACATCATGTATGACCTACACGTAAATTTTAATTGCACTCTGTCAATGCACAGTATTCATTAACATAAAAGCAGGTGAAAATCAAGCAATTATTGAATTTGATCTGAAAAACAACATGTTATGCATCAAGATATCATTAAGTGTTACCGGCAGTATGTTTGAAAAGAAATCTGATGGGTACCATCTTGAAATTGATTGTGAAAAAGATTCATGTGCATACATGTGACATGATGCAAGATATATTTGTAAAGTTTGAATGTGATTGGTCCAGATATGTTTTAGATACAAGTGTGAAAGGTTGGATTAACATGGAAACACAGAGATGAAGTTTAATAAGTTTGATATATGACATTTGGATAAAATGAGTTCTGTGATGCGTTTTTTTTTCATAATTCTACTACGTGTACATTAGTAGTACAATGTACTAGACAAATATATTTACATAAATGTGAAATGTACAATAAAGCAGCATGATGTAATTCAAATCCAGTTTACCGCGCTGGTATATAAACGTAAACATTAAAATAGAAGTGTATCCTTCAGTATTTATCCATGGTCAATTTATA